TTTATGTTTCCCGACTGCCGCCTGGTTTTGTTTCTCTGCTTGCGTTTTGACATGTGCAACTTTGCATGTTTTTGCATTACCTTTGGGGTCGCCCAGCTTTTCACCACGCATCCCTGGTTGTAGGATCCAAGAGTCTGCTCAGAGCTGGACCCTGTCCCTGGAGGGTGTCTGGCGCTCAGGCGGGGGTTAAATTTTTAGGCACCCTGGCACCCAAAAGCTCGAGGCCCAAAAGTCAAGGCTTAGGCAGCCGCGGGAAGGTGCTACGTAGAGTCGTGTAGAGGCTATGCCTCGTACAGCATGGAGGGTGCGGCAGCACGCCCTCTCCCTCGCATTACTTTCTCCGGCCCAAAAAAAGAGATATATATATATATATATATATGGGCTATTCTACTTACGGCTCCTACTTGAGAGTTGGTTTATTTGTGTGTTTTTGACATGTTTCCGCTTTGCACACAGCTGATAGCACACAGCACGCCACACAGAATTTGCGCAGTAATGAAACCTTCCGGCTAGACCCGCAACCTAGATCCTAAACCCTAAGTTTTGGGGGCTGGCCGCCGTCGATGAGTGCGGCGGGAGCAAACGGGATGTCTACGGGCCCCACTCTTGTGCATAAGATCTTCGCCAATCTATGGCTAAACCCCCCTCAACCCTAAACCCTAAACCCTAAACCCTAAACCCTAAACCCTAAACCCTAAACCCTAAATCCTAAACCACAATAAGCCCGGAGCCCTCAGGGGCTCTTCCGTGGTTTGCCTAGGAGCCTGTGCTCGGCTCCAGCTGTCAGAGACGCCACGCACAGGTGGGAAGCAGGGAGAGTGAGTTCAGGGGTTGGGATTCTCCCCCTTTCTCTAACAGTCTCAAATAGGGATGAAAGTATCCCCCCCTGAATCCCTATTGAAGGGCTGTTTTTTTATAAGAGGGAGCATCCCAAAGTTCAGGGTTTATCGGTTTCAGGGTTTAAGATCGACGGTCTAGGGTTTAAGGTTGGGGTTTCTGGTAATGCGTCAGGGCCTGGAGCAGGAAGTCTTTATGGAAGGCAGGTTGTTTTAGGGTTCGGGTGGTCAAGCTGTGCCTCGAGCACACCACCTTCCTCTTAAACTGGGAGTGGGTAGGTGGAAATGGTTCTTCCTTTAAAGCGTGATCCTGAAGGTCTCCCCCTATACCCCTTAAACCCTAACAACCTAAAGCCCCAAACCCCATGGACCCTCAACCCTCAATCCCTAAACCCTAAACCCTTCACCCTCAAATCCCTAAACCCCAACCCCAAGCCCTGAGCCCTAAACCCTGAACCCCGAACCCTCCACCCCTAAACCCCTAAACCCTAACCCAAGCCCCAAGCCCTCCTTGCAAAACCAGCAGCCTCGGTTCGGAAGGCCCTCCATCAAGTGACGGCCTCAGAGAGTTGCGCGTTGGGGCGGGCCGCAGGGTGGAGGGTTGAGGGTTGAGCCCTCAGAGTTCGGGTCCCCCTTTTGGGTCGCATCATGGTATGTCTCCTTGTTGTAGGGGTTAGGGCTTAAGGTGTGGGTTAGGGTTTGAGGTTGAGAGGTGAGGGTGGCCAGGTTTTCACGCTGTATTCTGGGTCTTGCCTGAAGCATGACTGACCTTCTGCAGACCTAGGCGTGGCGCTCCACACACCTCGCTGTGAAGGGCCCGGCTGGCGAGGTCAGCTTCGTGATCACTCTTCCTCCGAATCGGAATCCAACACAGACATCAACTGCGCCGCGGTTGACGCTGCGGCCACATAACTGCGCAGATCTCGAACCTTGATGAGCCGACGAATATATAAGCCATAGTAACTCATGGAAAGAATATCAAGAGTGGTAAGGGTAATAAGAACAGCAGATGACACTGAGAATAGTAAGAATAGTCACTATAGAATAGGTGTCGTATTTTGTCGTCGTAGCAATTATGGTAATATCAGGAATAGCAGTAGCAGGAGCAGGAGCAGCGGTAGCCGGTGCCGTAGCCGTAGCCATAACCGTAGTCGTAGCCGTAGCCGTAGCCGTAGCGGTAGCTCGCGACTGTAACTCCCAGCCTCTTGGAGGTCCTGGCTTCTTGGGAGGTGCCACGGTGGCCCAGCCCATGGCTTAGAAGAGGGATGCCGGGGAGAGGTTTTTGAGTAAATTTTCTAAGCTGGGGTGCGAAGTGAATGCCAAATAGGCAGAGGTATATGCAAACGACACAAGCTGGGGCCTCAAGTAGCGTTCTCAAAGTTGCCGCAGACTGAAGATTTTGTAGAGGTGGCTGCGTGTTGCAACGCATTTCGTTCGCCTGCCACCATTCGCCTGCTGGAATCTTCTAGGCTCCTCCTTGTCCGTGGACACGGAACCGCCTCTTGCTGGTGGCCCAGGGCGTGCAGCACCAGCCCGTTGCTGGATTGGGGTTTCGTAGGGGTAGATTCATGGGTTTCCCTGCTAACCCATCCATACCCCTGCCCCCCCCTCCCCCTAGGTTCCCCCCTTCCATTACCTTTAAATTCTCCCTAAATAGCCTGAATTAAGGGGGGGGAACCTGGTATAGCGGGGGGCTACCCTAGGCCCTATAAACCCGAAAACAGACGTATGCGGAGAGGGTGTGGGCTTCGACTCCACGGATGCTTGGATCGGCTACGTGAGGCGTAGGACTGCGAGGCGTGGGCATCGACCATATACTTTGGTTTTGTGGGCTTTTCAGCAGCTACGGCGCCGCGACTCCCACCTGTTTTTTGTTGTTTGCGTGTTAATCTCTCTCTCTGTCTCTCTGTGATGCTTTAGCAACTTCAGCACGGCCTATGCCAAGGCCTTCCGCAGCCGGCGCCTCCTCCAAAGCGAACCTGCCACGGTCGAGGCGCGACAAGAAGAGCTCTCCGTTCCCTCCCACCATCCGCATCTTTCAGCAATCCTTAATCCTTACTGGTTGGGATGTTCCCCCTCATACTGACAGTCCTCAGTAGGGATTCTAATGGGAGTGCTAAAATCCCTATTAAGTCCCTATTAAGGGCTGTTCGTCTAAGGGGGGAACGTCCCAACTTCCCCGAACTATCTTCACGACCCTGAGGCGGAGCTTCGCAGTGGCGGCTTTCCTGTGGCCTTTGGTGCAGGGGGGCCCTGGTTCTTCGGAAGTTGAGGGTTTCGGGTTTTTAGGGTTTAGGGTTTCGGGTTTCGGGTTTGGGGAGACATGGACCACAACTGGAGAAAGGACCATGTGCTGTCATAGAGCACGGCAAAAAGAATGGGCTGGACTGGGGATGTCAGGGCGGGTTCGGGGGGGGAGGAAGGGTTTAGGGTGAAGGGTTAAGGGTTCATAGGGTTTAAGGTGTTTATGCTCTGGGCATTTAGGGTTTAGGGTTTAGGGTTCAGAGTTTAGAGTTTAGGGTTCAAAGTTCAGGGTCATAGGGTTTAGGGTTCAGAGGTTAGGGTGAAGCCCATCCTGGGCTCAGAAGCCTTGTTGCCCTGCAGCTCAGAGGTGGCGGTCTGCCAGATCTTCGCTGCCTAGGCGCTCCAGATGCAGGTGGGAAGCTGGGATGTGTCCAGGCTTTGGCCGATGATCTAAGCTTTGTCATAGTTGGGTAACATTTTACATTTTTAAGGGTACTTAAACCCAATAACGAATATGAATTTAAATTTTTAATACTATCCCAACCATGAACTAGTAAGCGATGCAGCTCCAGTGAAACATGAGAAAACGGTCCTCGGGCGATAGGCCATGGGGTACCCTAAGTTTCTCAGTTTCCATTGCCCCCCTACGTACCCGCACAGGGTATGCTGGGCTTCTTGAACTGTCTCTTAAAAGGGTACGCTCCCACACAGAGACACAAGCTGGGGCAAACCTAAAACAAAAAAAACGCTATTTGTGCACAGAAAGCCAGGTTAGGGGCTCCCATTTAGTCCCGATGACACATGCATAAATTCCAATGGCAGAAAAGGTGTCGCGAAGCCAAAAACAGGGCTTTTGCAGTACAGTGCAGGGTCGTTTAAGGGATGGCAAAAGCCCTGTTTTGGGCAAAAGCAGCTTCCCTGAGTTTGTTAGCCAGAAGGGAAACCGCACATCGCCCACAACCCCACCCCCACATACCATGTTGCCACTAATTACCGTATGTACCAGAGCAGGCTAAAATCTCGTATAGTTCAGCTTTTTATGGTATACTACAGTCCGTTGATATGCACCATAAACAATACACATGTATATATATATATATGTATACATATATATGCATGTGTTTAGTATTGTGCTAGGTACTTTCACCAATCATAACATATTACAATTCATTCGGGGGTAATGATGAGATGGAGCTTGCCTGCACAGGGGAGGGAAGACAAAGGCTTTCGCTAAACCCAGGTCCTAAATCCGGACCAAGCCGACAATAAAATATGTATATAGTCGAATACAGAATAACATAGTCGTGTGGCTGAATCCGGTATAGAATTTGAATAGTCCAATATGGCCTACTAAGCGCCCCAAGATGTAACCACTGCACAAGAAGCCATTGTACAAGAAGCTAAGCCTAGATCCGGGCGAGTGAGAAGCTTTGCTTTCTTCCTGGCCACACTACGAAGACAGAGTTCAACAACGTGGCCCGATATCACTTGCACCCGAAACCCTAAACCCTAAACCCCAAACCCTAAACCCTAATTGCAGCTGCGGTGGCTCGGTTTTTTCCGCCGTCTCCGCTGTCATGCCGAGACTTGGAATGTCGATATTCGCCGCCTTGCCCTCAGACCTGCCAAGTGGGAGGGAAGGTCTTTCCAGATCAGGCCAGCTTTGCCACGATAGCAGACTATAATGTACTCTAACATTATTCTCACGTGTCTACACATGTACGAATTTGAAAATGTTGCAATTTTTGGAATATGGTAAAACCTGGCAGCCCCGACTGTCCGCACGCCACGATTTTTCTGGCAATCCCAGGTGCTGTATCTCGGACTTGTGGTCCGTGTTTCCGCATATGCCCGGACGGCCCTGACGGTCTCGGGGGAGGTGCGCTCCATGTGATCTTCGTTTAGCTGAGTGCAGGTTCCATGGCTGTAGCGCAGTCTAGTGCACCATCGCCGATCTCAGGAGCTCCTGGACAAGACTTTCCAGGACTTCCGGAGTTTTTTGTGTGGACTGCGTGTTGCCACGCGGCCAATTCGCCTGACTTCTTTGATGGCCTCTGCCAGGAGTACACCGACGGCCTCAAAGCCTCCTCTCCAGCTCTAGGTGCGCTCCAGCAGCTGGGTGGGCATTACTGTGTTCTCCAGGTGTTTTTTTTTTTTTTTAAATCTTTTTAAATGTTTTGCGTTTCGGACCCTTGTCCCACCTGCCATCTACCATCCCGTTGGGAGCAACGATGGATGAAACCTACAAGAACAGTGTGAGGTTCCTGGGAAGCTGCTGTGGCGACTACACAGGCAGCCTCGGTTGGCGTGAAACTTCAGCAGAGTCTTGCGTGGTGTGGCTTGGGAGCATGTTTGATGTGCTGTGCACTTGCCCTTCGTGGCTTAAGTATGGAAGGTGCAGCACCTGAAGTACAGACCGACATCAACACCAACGCTGTTTATGGATCCACGGCAGATCTTGCGGAGACGCTCTTCAAGAGATCTGGTTGCAGCCCCATTGGGAGTGACAGCATGCAGAAGACGGGTGAGCAAGGCTGCATCTACTTCAGCATCTTCGAGAACCAGAACCACGCCGAGCATGAGTTCGCGGCCAACTGCGTGCCGGCGACCGTGTCTTGGCAGCCCAGTGGTACCCTTTACCTTTTTTTTGGTTATGGTTTCCCTTATAAAAATAACCAACCCCAAAAAGGGTGCCCTTATCATAATATGGTGGCCGGGCTAGCAAGGTGTGCAAGGAGGACGTTGTGGGCATGACAAAGGGCATGGTTGCAACCTACGGCGTGGTCTTGCAGATCCTGCAGGGCAACCTGGGCTCGCTGGCCTGGATTGGAGAAGGGCCCACAGAGAGCTGCTTCGCCGGCATGAACAAGATCAACATGGGCCAGGTGGATATTTAGGGTTTTTTGACGTTAAAGAACCCTAAATGCGTGAACAAGATCAACATGGGTCAGGTGGATGAGGTGATGGTCAAGTCGCCTATCAAGCTGGGCCCCATTGTCCTGGGCTATGAGGAGAAGCTGTCCATTGAAGGCATGGAAAAGCTCAAAGCTGCCGAGTCCTTAAGCAAGTGCAAGGACTGCTCCCGCGTTGTGGGGGGGGGGGGGGGGGGGATCGCATAACCAAGCCGAGCCGACACCGCTCCCAAAACATTCTGTGGTCACATGGGAGTTAAAGAAAATAAGGGACCCCCAAATATACACCCCCAAGTAGTAGGATCACCTTATAAGAAGGACCCCAAACAAGGTACCCCTAGTTTCGGAAACCCCCACGTGACTGCTGAAAAGGATGACTCGTCTGTTGGGTACCTGTTTATCCACAAGAACCAGTACTGGTCGGGTGAGAAGAGCGCCACCGACCTCGAGGTCAAGCATGGAGTCAGTCTGAGTGTGCGGTTTCTTGAAGTCCATCTCCGTGCTGACTTGACAGGCCTTTACCAAGATGAAGCAGGAGAAGGAAGAGCAGAAGAAGGAGAAGCAGAGGCAGCAACAACTGTGCCTGGACTGCCGAAGTCGGGAGGAGTGCCACTCTTTCGTGACAGCATGGCGCGCGCCCGTGCCCAGGAAGCAGATCGAGGCAGCTCTGGCGGCCAAGAACAAGGAGGAGGCGGAGAAAGCGCTGGAGAAGGCTGGGCTGCCGTCCGGTACTGATTCGCAGAGTTCACTTCTTCAGAAAACAACCTGTGCCCAATCTGGGGGGTTTACGAAAATAGGGGACCCCCTAGTAGTTGACCCAAAAATAGTAGGATCCCCTGAAAATGAGGACCCCCATACGGTACCCTAAACCCCAAACCCTAAACGCTAAACCCCAAACCCTAAACCCTGAACCCTGAACCCTGAACCCTGAACCCTAACCCTAAACCCTAAACCCTAAACCCCCAATAAGGTACCACCTCTTACCGTATAGCCCGCCATATGACAAGAGCTGACGAATCGGTACAGGCTGGCGCCGCCCCTCCGGCCATCGCCAGCAAGTCGGTAGACAAGGATGCCGGATGCTCAGAGTTTAGGGTTTAGGGTTTAGGGTTTCGGGTTTAGGGTTTAGGTTGCCACAGAGAGGATGGCAGTGGCATCTTCTCCAACGTGGACCGAGGCCGTTGCTGCCGCCAAGGAGTCCGGGAAGATCAAGGGTGTCCCGAGCTTACCTCTACTTTAGGGTTTAGGGTTTAGGGTTTAGGGTTTAGGGTTTAGGGTTTAGGGTTTAGGGTTTAGGGCTGCTTGGAGGTTCATGGTACTTAGCAACCAAGTTTAACTGTACTTATAGCCCACTTATAAGCCCCTTAAGTGCCCTAATATGGTTATAAGTACAGTTACAACTGGTTAAGAAGTACCATGAACCTCCAAGTAGGAATGAGCCGTCAATGTCCCTAAAGGATCCATGTACCTATATAGCAAATACTTTGGCCTGAAAGGGGTTCCTATATCGTAGCTTCAGGGCCCAAACAGACCATATCCCAGGGTTTGTCTTGAGGGAATGCACTTCCCGCCTTCGGAGCTTTAAGGCAGTCGCTGACCAGGGCCGCCTCACAGATAACTTTCTTCATCGGATGCCTGCTAACGACACAACGCCGCAATAGGGAGGGACCCGCACTTGGGATTGCCCGCAATTGAGGACGTGAAAATCAGCACCGACAGCGGCGCCAAGGCGGACCATGTTTGGGGTTTAGGGCCCTAAGCCCTAAACCCTAAGCCCTAAACCCTCAACCCTCAACCCTAAACCCTAAACCCTCAATCCTAAACCCTAAAACCGAAAACCCTTAACCCTAAACCCTAAACCCTAAAGCCCTGAACCGCTGCCTCTAGCCCTGCAGATTAAGATCGATGCGCAGCGCCGCCTCTCGCGAAGCGGACTCCCACAGCACCGTCCCGAAGACGTCTTGATCTGAAGAATCAAGGGCTTTAGGATCTAGGGTTTTAGGTTTTAGGGTTTTAGGGTTTCAGGTTTAGGGTTTTAGGGTTTAGGGTTTATAAGGTTTCGGGTGTAAGGGTTCACTGTTTCACTTATGTGGCGAAGGCGAAGCCCCTTCAGCACAGCAGCAGATTGCTCCTCTGCGGGATCTAGATGCCTGTCCGGAAACTCCGGCTGCTTCCAATTGCATCCCTTCGAGAAAGCCCTGAACTGGGTCGGATGCGGGAAGCACTGATCACATCAGAAGGCAAGGAAGCGAATGGCCGCCAGTCGCAAAAGTCTTGGCCTGCTTGCTTTGGCGCCGCAGAAAGAACTTCTCAGTTCCTTTGGCGCATCGCACGTGGGTGAACGATCTCTAGCTTTCCAGGTTCTTGGTCGCTGCAGCTCCGGCACAGGGCAGCTCTTGGCAGAGGAGGAGGCAGAACACAGGCAGCACAGAGTTGAAGCATCTTTCCAGGAGCTTGCGTAACTGTTTCGTAGAGGGCCGCAGGCTTGAGGAAGATTGGGGTCGAGGGTGTTTAGGGGTTTATGGTTTGTGAGGTTGCGGGTTTAGTGCCAAACGCGCGTTTGGCCGTCAAATCATACAATGGCCAATTGCCAGGGGAAGTCTGCCACGCGAAGAGTCTCTGAAAATACTCTGGGCTTGTTTAGGGTTTAGGGTTTAGGGTTTAGGGTTTAGGGCTCTCCAGCATTGTCTGAAAATTCTCCGGGTGTGGGCGCTCCCGCGGGATTCTCTGGGGGACACCCTGGGTTGGGCACTCCAGGAATTCTTTGGGGATACCCTGTACTCAAGAAACTCTCCAGGAGTACTCTGTGGTTGGGCACTCCAGGGTTTTTGTGGAGATACACTGGGGTTGCAGGGAGTAGACCGGAAGAGGAGAAGAGTTTGGTTTTAAACCTAGCCACCCCACGCCTAGGGTGGGGAACAACTTTCCGGGGACCACGCGCATGTTCATGCATGGAAACAAGAGCTTCGTTAAATTGGCTGCATTGTTCAGCTGTGAAGATTCGATTCGGTTTGGATTGCATGTGTGTTGTCATGAGTTGTGAGAGGGAGGCTGTGAGGGGTCGCGTGCAATGTGACGATGATTGAAGCTTGCGCCAGGATGCCATGGAAGCCCAAAAGCCAAGTTGTCTACGGTCCCGCTGTTCGAGGCCGTGTCTGACATTCAGTTGCCAGGGCCGGGCATTCTTTGGCCCCGCAGAGGTCCTAAGCCATCAGTCCAATGGGCCCATATTTTGCTACACAGCCTGATTACATTGATCTCGCTACTTTGATGTCTGGACCTGGCAGACGCTAGTAGTGGGCTGTTCCACCGGGCATGTACTATGTCGAGGGGTCACGGGGCGGAGATGAAGTGGATTTGTGTCACTTCTTGGATCCGATGCCGGGGCTCGGAACTCTTGCCCTCGGCAGGCTCCGCAGGCTTTCGACGGACCCCAGGCTTCCCAACTACACCTTGTTTTTGATCAAGTCGGGATCGCGTTTCGATCTTGTTTCGGAATCAGAACCGATGCTGCTGTGGCCGACACCTTCGGACAGAGCTGTTGCTAAATTGTCCGGATTCCGGAGATGCTGTTCTCAGGCTTTAACGGCACCCTGGTGGTTTTCCGCTGCTTGGTGCTTGGGGTCTATATACCTGGCCGCAAAAAACCATACAAAGCTGGACTTGCCAAGCAAGGTGTGCAAACTTAGCCACTCATTCTACTGAGGCTTCGCTTGTATTCTTCGTTGGGGCTCATGAACGGTCCTCCGAAAGCAGCCCAACTTTGGGCGAGTTCAACGTAGGCACCGTCTTGCCGCCCTGCCTTCTCGAGTCAGGCCGCCAGCGCCACAGGTGCTTCGGAGTACCTTTGCCCTCGGTCATTGAGACTTGTTGCACAGGAGTTCAGCTGGAAGCTTGAGCTTGTGGATTGTTAGGTTGTGATAGGCGAGGAAGGATGCGAAAGGCGTCTTCCCGGACCGTCCAGGTGGCTGGTTGCCTTGCCCCCTCCCTGTTGATGCTGACAAGTTTGGGCTGATCCTCCGGTCCTCCGCGTGCCTGAGAGATGAGACTTCTTTGCTCAATTGACGGCACGCTGCTTTACCCTTCCTTTCCTTTGTTTCTTTAATTTGGGAAGACTGGCTTCTTTTCGCCCGCTTCCAGGCTTCTGCGCTGGCCCGTGTGCAACCTTCTTTCACCTCGGTTCTGCAAAAGGGGCCATCTTGTTCGCTTCCGCCACTGTTAGCTTGCTTCGTTCTGCAGGCCTCCTTGCTGAGCCTCGCAGGCCACTCTGTTGGTCTGGGGCTGGGGATGTGCGTTGACGGCTACTTCTCACCTCTATGCCGAAGCAGTCTCTGGGCCTGACTCCCTTACTCCTTGAGCTCGCTCAACACCTGCGCTTCGCACCTACGGCAGGTCTTGATGGGGTCCAGTGAGAAGGATGTGCTGCGTACTTTGGCCGACATCACTCTGGAAGCTTCCACCTGGCCAGCAACCAGTTGTGTGACGCTGGGACGTCAGCCATGGATGCGAGACTTGCCCTTCTGCTTTCGGTGAAGCTCGCAGGCTACGGGCTGGTCAGTTCTGTCGACACCCAGGGGAGTGAGCCAAGAGTGCTGAAGCTTCGGAGGGCAGTGACTCAGGAATTCCAGAGTTGTGGTGGAAGGCGCCTTGCAGCGACGATCTGCCGTTTACGCCCCTGGCCTTGCAGCCGTGCTCGAAGAGCCACGGCACAGCGAGACTTTCCTTCAGAAACAGTTGGTCAATGACCTCACCCTTACTTTGGGCTGGCAGGTCGAGCGCATGTCTTTGACGTGGTAGGGGTCTGTCCTGACACGCTGGTGCAGAGTCTGGTGAACCAACTTTGGCATCCCAAAGCAGCTTGGCATTTTCTCGCAGTTGGCGTAGCCCGATGTTCGCCGTAGTGTTGGGAAGTCTGAAATTTGTAATGATGTTGTTTGGGGGTGGCTGCGTTCTAGGCAACACAGCAGTGTTGCGCAGAGTCTAACCTCTTGTCTTTGTATGGGTCTTGCATGATTCCGCGTGCCTGTGCCAGGGCAAGATTGACATCAAGCGTGTGCCCCAAGAGGACGTGCGTGCCTCAGAGTCATGAGGGATCAGGAGCCATGATATTCCGCGACTCTTTCCTCGCTGCAGTCTGCCGCCGTGATGAAAGCACCCGGGCTCGGCGATCAGGTCAACATTGCCGCGAAAGGCGGCTACGGGCGAATCTAGAGGCGACGACGTTTCAGCCCGTAGTCGGCGTATGGCCGCACATGTCGGCGTTCTAAATCACTGGCAGCAGAATGCAGCAGAGTGTGAGCCAACAGTACCCAGCACCGTGAAGAAGCTCCACTGCAGTTGCCGCAGTACAGGATCGCCGCCTGTCCGGGACACTCATCTGAAGTGGAGGTGAAGTGCACGTTTCATGCTGATGAGCGAAGCCTCTTAGAAATCTCAGACATCAGCTGTGACCAGGGGCTCTGTCAGACAGAGGTCTATCAAGAAGCCCAGGACGATTTCGGATTTTTCGTCGCAGGTTTGTTCGCTTCCTTGCCTCATTGCTGCACATTGATGCGATTTGACACTGATTTGACACTTTCCCGGCCACTCCGGCTGAATCTTGTTCTGTTGCACAATGTGTCCAGAAGCTCCTTGTGGCGAGAAGGAGCTGGAGTGACAGGGTCATGCTTTCCGAGTTCTCCGACTTGTGTGTCTCGGGGCGATATGGTCCCACTGAACGGAGAACATCCGCTCTGTGATCTGATGCATGAGATCATGTCGAACGAAACATGTCGCGAATCCAAGCTATGATTCTAAAGCCCTACTTGCAAACGCTGCGCCTCGATCGTGTGCATGCAAGGGAACAGAGGGTTTTCGCTCGCAGAGGCACAAAAACTCCAACAAAGCGCCCTTTGTCCTGCAATCGGAATCCGCCAATTGTCCGAGAATGCTGAAGACCCAAGATCCCTTTAAATCTGAGTGATTCAGGTCGCCGTGACGTGTCCAGCTCTCCAAAAAGTATTGTCTCTGCCCCGATCCAGCTTCGGGGTGCTTTGGGGGGGTGCTTCGGGGTGCTTCGGGGTGCTGACCGAACCATGACAGAGCTGTCGGCCGACGTGATGTCCGCGCCATGCAGTCATATATATAAATATATATATATATATATGTAGATGCAATCATGTTTGTATCAACAGGCTCGTGTTTGTAGGCAGACACGCGAGCTGAGCGGCCTTGGCCCCCACCACAGCCGCCGAAGCAAGCTTGGCTCAGCTCTGCCCTGATTCTCAGCCTGCCATTGATCATGTCGCTGTTCAACGCCTGGAGCTCAAGTGTGTCCAGAGAACTTCCCTTGGCCACTGCTCGGTTGCGCACTGTCGCGGCCGGTCGAGTCACGTCGAGTCCCCGCCCTCCCCCCCCCCGGCCAAGCTAGCAGAGAATTCAGGTCTTGTGCCTCGGGCTGGTGGCCCGCGCTTCCGCCTGGGCCCGCGCCTCCGTGACGGTGACTGGAGAGGCTCCTTCGCGGGCAGGGCAGGTGGCAGGTGGCAGGGCAGGTGCGAGAATTGATGCTGAAACCTGCTGGGGCGAGATGCTGTGCGTTTGTTTTCAGGCGCTCGCGGACAAGACCATCAAGGCCTGGCACTCTTTGAGGAAGCCCATAGAGTCCCGCAGGCATGTTAGAGGCGGATGGCGTTGCGTGGCCTTGCGCCGTGGTAGGACTACGTTGAGGAGGTCAAAACCATGAGCCCAACTCTGGGTTCGCTCCAGCAGCTGCGTTTTGCATGGAAGCGCGTTCCGCTTGGGTTTTAGGTGTTCTTTTTTTGGCCCTAGGCTGGGTCTGGAAGCCGCAACGGAGAGTAGATCGCAGATCGTATAGATTGATCACTGATTGATCAGAACTGAAGGATGATGGGCAGCTGCTGTGACGAGAACCAAGGCAGGGAAAACATCTGGAATTGTGCGCTGGTCGAGGAGTGTTGGAAAGTTTTGGGTTTGGGGTTTCGAGGTCGCGCTTGCGTGAACTGAGCTCCCGCATCCGGGCAGGCGCTGCCATGGAGGTTCAGAACGGCATCAACACGAACACCCTCTACGGACCTACTGATGAGCTTGCCAAGACGATCTTCAAGGACACTGGTTGCAGTCCGGTGGCAGAGAAGAATATGAACAAGATGGGCACGGCAGGCTGCACCTACTTCAGCATCTTCCAAAACACCGCCCATTCTGACCACGAGTTCGCCGCCAACTGCGTGCCGGGTTTGGTCTGCAGTGCGGACGTTGTGGGCATGACCAAGGGACTGATTGCCACCTACGGCGTGGTCATGCAGATTTTGCAGCCCAACCTTGGTTCGCTGGCAAACATCTATTCGGGACCCATTGACAAGTGCTATGACGGCATGAACAAGTTAAATGGGGGCGATTTGAAGGATTCCTTCGTCACCACGCCCATTATGGGCCCGTTTAACCTGAAGCTCGGCGAGACTACCAAGCTGGTGGTCGAGGGCATGGGCCATGTCGGTGCTCTCGATTCCCTTAAGACCTGCCAGGACGGGCGGCATGGAGGGACACGCGAGCAGACGCGAGTCGACAAGTGGAGTAAGCCCTCCCTTGAGCCCCGTAAGCACGAACCCCACTTCACCCACCAAAGAAACCTTGCGTCTCTGCTAGAACACATCGGAAGTTGGCTACCTCTTCGTCCACAAGAACCTGTACTGGAACCCCAAGCAAGATGCCGTTGACCTCGAGGCGGGTGTTTGGCTGGGCTTTGTCTTCGCATGCGCGCACACATGAGCATCCGGCACGGGACACACGCACAAGACGGGCTTGTGAGCAGGGCTTCTCGGAGTACAAGACGTCGAAGGCAGCGGAGGCGGAGGAGAAGGCGAGGCAGAAGCAAATGAGCCTCGGATGTGCACCTTGAGGTCAGGACACAACACGGCCAAAGGACCGGCAGACCCTTTGAACCAAGGCAAGCAATTGCCAAGTCCACGGACAAGGGGGACACAAAGACGGCGGAGGCGACGCTGGAGAAGGCTGGCCGCGCATCGTCACGGGAGCCACACAAGGGGGCGTCGCAGGGTGCGTCGCAGGGTGCGTCACAGGGGGGGTCACGGGAGCGTCACGGGAGCGTCGCGGGAGCGTCACGCCAGGCCGGTGCCGAGGTCCCCCCTCCTAAGGCGGAGGTGGACCAGGGTGCCCTATCCTCAGTGCATCCGTGTAGTCGATGCGCGTCACGTCAGGTTTAATCCCGCCGTGACCAGGCCGTCACTTCCGCCAAGAACGCCGGGAAGCTCTCGGTGCCCATGGGCGCCCGGTGCTCAGCAGATATCAGCAGATAAGTCGCAGATATCTGTCAGCAGAGCATGCCGACGGACCGACGTGCAGACAGGTCGCCAGACAAACCGAGGGTGTAGGGTCTCGCTTGATTCTCCGTGCCTGCGCCAGGGCAAGATTGACATCAAGGGTGTGCCCAAAGAGGACGTGGGTGCCTCAGAGTCATGAGGGATCAGAAGCCATGATATTCGGCGACTCTGTCCTGGCTGCAGTCCACCGCCGTGGTGAAAGCGCTCGGGCTCGGCGACAAGGTCAACATTGCCGACGCTCGGCCTTTGAAAGCTAGGGCAGCTAAGGGCGAAGGGCGGCTAAGGGCGACTCTGGGCGACGATGTTTCAGCCCGCAGTCGGCGTATGTCCGCACATGTCGGCAGTTTAACTCACTGGCAGCAGAGTGCAAGCCAGCAGCACGCAAGAAGCTCCACTGCAGTTGCTGCAGTTCTTCTTCTATTTACGGAGTTGACATGCCGGACAGGATCGCCGCCTGTCCGAGACGCTCATCTGAAACGGAGGTGAAGTGCACGTTTCACACTGAGCGAAGCCTCATTGAAACCTCAGAAATGAGCTTGCGACCAGTGTCCTGGGAGAGGTCTACCAAGAAGTCCAGGACGATTTTGGATTTTTCGTCGCAGTTTTGTTCGCTTCCTTGCTTCACTACTGCACATTGATACGATTTGACGCTTGCCCGGCCACTCCGGCTTAATCTTATTTTGCACGATGTGTCCAGATGCAAGTTGCAAGCTCCTTGTGGCGAGAAGGAGCTGGAGTGACAGGGTCATGCTTTCCGAGTTCTCCGACTCTGAAAGATCGCACTTGTGTGTCTCGGGGCCGTACGGTCCCACTGAACGGGAAAAATCTCCAGTGAAGATCCGCCCTGTGATCTGATGCCTGCCGTGATTATTATATTCGACATGACCTCGCTAGCGTAGCTAGGCTTGAGTCTTGCCTGCTGTAGCAGGGAACCGCTCCAACCCCAGTGGCTTTTTACTTGAAAATATCGAGGATGGTGGTGGTGGTGGTGGTGCTGGTGCTGGTGCTGGTGCTGGTGGTGGTGGTGGTGGTGGTGGTGGTGCTGGTGGTGGTGGTGGTGCTGGTGGTGCTGGTGGTGACGTATAGAAGAGGGAACAGTGGGGCATTTGCGCCCAAGGAAGCTCCCTTTCGACCTGCAATCGGAATCCGCCAATTGCCGCAGTGCTGATGACACAAGATCCCCGTATATCCTGCAAATCTGAGTCCTGAGTTATGGTTTGTCATTCAATCGTCATGACGTGTCCGGCTCAAGGTCCAAGTACTTTGTCAGCCCTGATCCTGCTGTGAGTACTTTGGGGTGCTCACGCTTTGACCGAACCATGACAGAGCGGTCGGCCGACGTGTCTCAGCGATGTCCGGGCCATGCGATCATAATTGGAAACGCTCGCGCGCGCACCCCTCGGCTGCTGGCCCAACGCGGGGTTTTGCGTGCGCATCGCAAACGAAGGAATGTCAACCTGGTGCAGCACAAAGGAAAAATGCTCTCGGCTGGAAGCCGAGGCGAATTATGCTTGTATCAACAGACTCACGTTTGTAGGCAGACACTAGAGCCGAGCGGCCTTGTCCACCAGTGTAGCTTTCCAGAGGGCTTATAGCCGCCGCCGAAGCAAGCTTGGCTCAGCTCCGCCCTGATTCTCAGCCTGCCATTGACCATGTCGCTGTTCAACGCCTGGGGCTTAAGTGTGTCCAGAGAACTTCCCTTGGCCACTGCTCGGTTGCGCAGTGTCGCGGCCGGTCGAGTCACGTCGACCCCGCCTCCCCCCCCCCTTCAAAGCTTGCAGAGAATTCAGGTCTTGTGCCTCGGGCTGGTGGCCCGCGCTTCCGCCTGGGCCCGCGCCTCCGTGACGGTGACTGGAGAGGCTCCTTCGCGGGCAGGGCAGGTGGCAGGGCTGGTGGCAGGGCTGGTGCGAAAATTGACGCTGAAACCTGCTGGGGCGGCGTTTGATTCAGGCGCTCGCGGACAAGACCATCAAGGCCTGGCACTCTTTGAGGAAGCCCATATAGAATCTCATAGACATGTTAGATTTGCATGGCGTTGCGTGGCCTTGCGCCGTGGCAGGACTACGTTGAGGAGGTCAAAACCATGAGCCCAACTCTGGGTTCGCTCCAGCAGCTGCGTTTTGCATGGAAGCGCATTTCGCTTGGGTTTTAGGTGTTCTTTTTTTTGGGCCCCTGGGCTGTGGGTCTGGCAGCTGCAACGGACAGTAGATCGCAGATCGTATAGATTGATCACTGATTGATCAGAACTGAAGGATGATGGGCAGCTGCTGTGACGAGAACCAAGGCAGGGAAACGTCCTTGTTGCTGGAACATCTGGAATTGTGCGCTGGTCGAGGGGTGTTGGAAAGTTTTTGGGTTTGGGTTTGGGGTTTCGAGGCCGCGCTCGCGTGAACTGAGCTCCCGCATCCGCATCCGGGCAGGCGCTGCCATGGAGGTTCAGAACGGCATCAACACGAACACCCTCTACGGACCTACTGATGAGCTTGCCAAGACGATCTTCAAGGACACTGGTTGCAGTCCGGTGGCAGAGAAGAATATGAACAAGATGGGCACGGCAGGCTGCACCTACTTCAGCATCTTCCAGAACACCGCCCATTCCGACCACGAGTTCGCCGCCAACTGCGTGCCGGGTTTGGTCTGCAGTGCGGACGTTGTGGGCATGACCAAGGGACTGATTGCCACCTACGGCGTGGTCATGCAGATTTTGCAGCCCAACCTTGGTTCGCTGGCAAACATCTATTCGGGACCCATTGACAAGTGCTATGACGGCATGAACAAGCTCAATGGGGGCGATTTGAAGGATTCCTTCGTCACCACGCCCATTATGGGCCCGTTTAACCTGAAGCTCGGCGAGACTACCAAGCTGGTGGTCGAGGGCATGGGCCATGTCGGTGCTCTCGATTCCCTCAAGACCTGCCAGGACGGGCGGCAATGGGCGGCATGGAGGGACACACATGGACACACGAGCAGACGCGAGTCGATAAGTGGAGTAAGCCTTCCCTTGAGCCTCGGAATCACGAACCCCACGTCACTCACCAAAGAAACCTTGCGTCTCTGCTAGAACACATCGGACGTTGGCTACCTCTTCGTCCACAAGAACCTGTACTGGAACCCCACGCAAGATGCCGTCGACCTCGAGGCGGGTGTTTGGCTGGGCTTTGTCTTCGCATGTGCGCACACATGAGCATCCGGCACGGGACACACGCAGCATGGGACGCAAGACGGGCTTGTGAGCAGGGCTTCTCGGAGTACAAGACGTCGAAGGCAGCGGAGGCGGAGGAGAAGGCGAGGCAGAAGCAAATGAGCCTCGGATGTGCACCTTGAGATCAGGACACAACACGGTCCCACGGTCCATGAGCAGAACCGGCAGACCCTTTGAACCAAGGCAAGCAATTGCCAAGTCCACT